ACTGAGTGAATAATTTGATGGATTTGGGTTCCATCTACTAACAAGTGTCCTGGAAATACTATCATTTCAACACCTGGAGATCTTGGCTCTCAAGAAATCTCTCTTTTGTGGGAGGAAGCCTCAGTCCTATGGGAGGATGAATTTGGAAAGTAAATTCCTGGTTTCAGCTAGCTAATGTACAGTTCACACAAAGTGAGGATGTAGGGTCACTTTCAGCAGTTCTACTGTGGTATCATAAATCTTGCAAAAACTTAGATGGAAACTATATTTATTATTTTCTTATATCCATTATCATGATATTATCTCACACAAATGGTCATCTACTATATCAAACCATTGCAAATTTTCCTGAACTATATATAGATGGTACAATTTTTAAGCTTCATGCTTGCAAGAATAATAAAGTCACTTGGTGTGAAACAATCTTCACTGTTGTAACCATTTCTGAACTTTAGCACTTTAATACGATGGACTTGAATGAAGACAGACTCAAGGCGGCAGTCGATATTTGCTTCAAGGCAAGCAGTGATTGCCTTTAACTACAGAAAAATTTCAAATTATTTACATTAAAAGTCACTTTTTAAAAACTTCTGACACATAGAAGTCTAACTAGTCATCCTTTCTTGAACAATTAAGAATTATATTGAGGGGCACACCTCACCAACAAGGGTACCTGCATAATGAATATTTATATATTTAATTCTGAATTGTATCCTACATCTTTAAAATAAAAAATTTTTTTTAAAGAATTAAATTGAAAGTAGTCTAAAATTCTAATCAAAGAATTGATTAGGATTCTAAACAGCTGAATTAGAAATCACTAAAATTGTATGAAGACTGATAATTCAGTTCTGTAATACACATAGAGAGATTGTTAACATCAGATTGTCATTTCTTTCAGAGTGCATGAATTATATAACTGCTTGCTTTCCTGTTGATTTTCTATTCAATGCCACCAAGAATTATTCACATTCCTTAATTGATATTATGAAAAGAACCACTTTTGATGAATATAGGGGCCGCGTAAACCACAAGAAACACAATACGTTTAATTTCAGGTTTCCCTGCAATTCTGTTTGCTTTAAAATAAAATTAAAGCCTCTTACCTACATGAGTCAAAGAATGTAGAGTGACAGGAGATTTCAAAATGACAGAAAAACAAGATATCAGAGCAAAGAAGGGCACAGACTGATTTTGTGCCTACTGATTTTGTTACCACCATTAAAATGCAATTATGAACAGGTATGTAACCTACCTTAGTCTCAGTTTTTACAACTGTAAAATAGGAGTAAGAAGACAATTTCAAGGGTGGAACTGACAGATTTTTTTTTTTTTACCTCATTGCAATAATTTTAAAGATGTCTGCCTGAATTCCAAGTTGATGACTACTTTATGTCATATTACCACTGGTTTTAGAGAATAGATTTGAACTTCATTAGCTTAACATGTCTTTTTAAGACTTAATAAATAAAGGAGTCTCATATTTAAATATCTTGAGGGAAAGCTTAGTTAAATTTGAACAATTATTTACTTCAGGCTTTATCAGAGACATAACACACTATTGTAAAAACTGAAGAGAGCAAAGCCAGTATGCATTGACTGCCAAATTTATATTTTTTTTCAGTGAGTGACCTAGGGTCAGTTTCTCTTAGCAATCAACTAATTATTATTTTTAAAGAATTCCATCTTTACTATTAGGTGTTGTGAAGTTTATACAATTATTTAGAACAAGAATATTTTATTTTCATTCATTAATTATAGCCTACACTTTAAAACCACAGAAAGTATACATTTACACTTACACTTTTTGTGTTTCTTTTTAATTACTTTCGAGTTGATATTTTCTGTAAGGAGGGAAAGACTTGTTTGTTTTTCAAAGAACATGAATTCATCTGAAACAGAGGTTGTTTCTGTAGTGTCAATTTGTAAAACGTTCTCAGTATATTCATAAGGTCAATGTTGATGACAAAGAATGTCTTTCATTTGTTGAAGTAAAAATATATACAAGAAGCCGAACCAGATATTTCCTGTAGGGTTACACGGCATGTTCATTAAAAGTGTTATACATTTTCTGAGCAGCACTTTAGGGGATATACAAACATTGCTTAAGCTTAAACTTGTACCAAACTTGACATACCAAAAACTTTAAGTAGATAATGTGTAATTCTCTGCATATTTCAATGTACTCTAGGACAAAGATAACAAAGATAAGAAACTTCCTTTTTTTCATCATTTGCTTTTTTATTCCAGTAAGGCACATCATCCCTGAAAAAGATTTCTTTATACAAATACAACAATGACTGGCCCTAAGGTGAACGATTATATTAGTTTCCTATTGCTGTCTCAAATTACCCCAAATGTAGTGGCTTAAAACAAAGAAAAACAATTTCAATTGGAAAGTTCAAAATGGGTCTCCTGGGGCTAAAATCAAAGTGACAGCAGAGCTGTATTCATTTTGGAAGTTCTAGAGGAGAAATAGTTTCCCTGCTTTTTCCAGCCTCCTGAGGTGGCCTCTGTTCCTTGACTCATGGCTCCCTTCCATTGTCTATAAAAGCTAGCAGTTAAGTCAATTGGCAGTTAAGTCAACTGCTTCTGTTGCCTTATCACCTCCTCTGACACTCTGTCTCCTGCCTCTTTTTCCCATTCATAAGGACCCTTGTGATTATCACCCGGATAATCCAGGATAATCTTCTGATCTCAAAATCCTTATCTCAAGCTCATTTCTAAATCTCTTTTGCCGTGCAAGGTAACATATTAACAAATTTCACAGATTAGGACGCGGACATTTTTGGAGGGCCTTTTTCTATCTACCACAGAACTTTTTGTTCACATTCAAAAAAATACAGCTGAAACCTTTTTCTGAGTTAGAAATCATAATTCTCAATTTCCTGAATATCAAAAGTAAAGATTTAGATTTTCAGAGTATTGAGAGATTTACTTTTCAGATGACTGAGTAATATAAATAACACCAGCAACTGAGTCTAGAAAATAGAGGACATTATTTTAGAGTTTTTGTTGTATACAACTTACACAGACACAGAATGATTTTGTCTCACAGCTACTATATCTATCAACTCAATTTTATCACTTTGTTTTCCTAAACAAGAAAATGTTTTATAAATCATATACATTTGTCATCTTATTTGTTGCGGTAAGAGACATCATGTGTTAAGAACAAGTGCTGAGAGAGTTCAAAGTGATGTATTTTCTCTTTTTAATAACTTGTCTCTGCCTGGTATGCTCTCACCTTCCAGCAAAATTTTAGAGGTTGCAATGCACTCCAATGAGCTATTCTAGTATAAATCCAAAGAGGTTTACCACATCAAGAAAAAAAAAGCATCTATTTCCTTGATAATTCACTGTATTCATTCTTTACACCAGATAAAGGCTGTTTGACCGTGTGAGATCTAATAAAAGCCAATGCCAATTTTATTAAATTCCTCCTCTGTTGCATCTGTGCACGGGTCATTAAACACCTTTAGCACATCATGTATGCTGGACATTAGAGCCAGACCTGGTTTATTGAAATCAGTTTGTAATTTATGTAGCTCAGTTATGGATTTTCACTACTAATGCTTCATATCATGACCCAAGTATTTTGTTATTTAACAAACTCTGATAAAATACAATTCTACTCAAACTGAGAACAATTGTTTTTATTTTATTTTATTTTGTCAACCTCATTACAGTTTTGAGTGTCACTTTGCTTATATTCTGGATTGAAATCAATTCACATAAATCAAAGATACAGGTAATTAGGGCTCTCTCAGTGAGCACAGTTAGGATGATCAGCAAACATGTACCAGAACAGAATAGTGGATACTCTGTAATGGGGTTTCCTGAGTACACTGTTTTGGGAGACATCAATATAGGAGAAATATTTGATGAGATTATTTTGAGGTTTTCATAATTAAATTATTTTTGTGAGAATCTAGATGGATCTGACTGACTCTGAATTCCATTCTAGGGTGAGTTTTTAAAAAGATTTCATTGTACTCAGATATCAAAATGGGACCTGTTATAAGAACTCAAAGGAAAGGAATTAATTTGGCAACCGTTCTTCAGAGTTTGTTGTACAAGGCTAAAGAATAAAGTATTGATGCGAAAGCAATGCATTTGTAGAAGATATGTTTTTTGACTTGTCAAGTGTCTTGTATCATAGTTGATATTTTACTTGCCAGTGAACTAGACCTGGGCCAACTAGAACTACATGAAGCTTGACGCTACTGAGAGGCAGCAAGAAGTTCATGATGCCCTGAGAACTGAGATGGCTCAAACATAACAGCAGTCCGAGGTGAGACCTGTGTCTTCACTGACACTGTGATGCCAAGTGAAGTGCAAAGCAGTCTGTAATGTGCAAAGCAGTCTGTAATGTGAGAGAAGCTGGGAAGAAGACAAGGCTAAACACCACGCCTTTAAAATTGATCAACAAAGGAGGTGGCCAAAAAATGTCCTAACAAAGCTCGTTTGGAAAGGCTATCAGGGAACATTATCTAGAAAGAGGAAACATAAAAGACAAAAGAAGAAGGAAAGAATAAAGGTAAAGGCAAGTTCTTGTTTTGAATTAAAATAATTTACTAATAAATAGCTTTTTTCAGTTAAAATTTATAGACGAATCAGCTATATAATTTTACATAAAACATTGCTTTTAAGGGGAAAAATGGTTATTAGATGTTCAAGATTGCCAGTCACTGTAGGAATAAAAAAAAAATAATTACTGCATTTCTGGTTCCCTTATACGTTATCCCTCCTTATCCCTACTTTGCCAGCTAGGGTTTTCTACCGTAGTTGTTCTTACCTACTCTCCTCTTCTGAAACATGTTCCTACATTATCTTGTACTAGTCACTGACCCAATTCTTGGTTTCCATCTTCTGGTTCCGCCTTCACTGGCTCTTTTTATCTTCTCCAATTCAAAGAATTTAGGTTGGAACCTCCCGGCTGAGCCGACATTGAAGGCATCCTAGTGATTCTGCCTGGCCAGCTCCACTCTTAAAACATAATGATGGCATACTGGCAACAGGCTGGACACAGCTACATCCAACACTCCCAGATGTGTGCAAAAGCAGTGAGAGATGCACTGAAGACAGAGTTCAAAGCAAACACCAAGAAGATTTCTGGCAGCAGCGTAAAAATTGTGAAAGTAAAAAAGGAATAATCTACCCTGACTAAAGCTTGAAACGCTACATTTCCAAGGCGAAACTGTGTGGGCACATGTTATGGTAGATTGAAAACAATCTCACTTCATGAAAAAAAATACCTGTCTTGTTCGTACATTGACAATGCCAACAAACTGAAATATGGTCACTCTTAAAAGAAAAAAGAGAGAGATAGAGAGTTTAGGTCATCTCTTGGTTTCTGGCCTCTCAACTCTTTTCTGCTCTTGGTTGACAGAACACTTTACAAATCACATGTACTCTCCGATTCAACCAACCCTTGATGATATGTTTTCAGTGTTGCCAATGATCTCCTGTAGCAAACTACTTTGATGGGTACGGGTTAAAATGCAGATTTATGAGATTCACTTTGAAAATATTGGAAGGTGCATTTATAACAAGAATTGTCAGTAGATGGGTTTGTACCATACATTTTGAAAACCACTGTTTTAGCACTACAAATTACTAGGGAAAGGGACAAATCATTGCCTCAGTTGTTTAACTGAATCTTTTAGATAAGTTGATTCATATAGTTGTATAATAAGGCTGGGTACGGTGACTCAAGCCTGTAATCCCAGCACCTTGGGAGGTTGAAGTGAGAGAATTGCCTGAGCCCACCGGTTAAAAAACAGCCAGGCAACTTGGTGAGATCTTATCTCTACAATAAAATCAAAAAATTAGACAGTCGTGGTAGTGTGTGCCTGTAGTTCTGGCTTATTTGGAAGGCTGAGGCGGAAGGATTGACTGAGCCCAGCAGGTTGATGCTGGGGTGGCTGTAAGTATACCACTGCACTCTACCCTGGGCGAAAGAGTGAGACTCCAACTCAAAAAAAAAAAAAAAAAAAAAAAAAGAAGTATATTAGGAGAAGTAGTCTGAGCAGTCATTTTGTAAAACAAAAGTAAAAATTTAGAATCAGGATTATATTTTATATTCATAGACATATAGTATTATTAAATATTCATTGATAGTTCTGAGACTAATCCAGTACACCTCTGAAAACAGCAGATAGCATGCTGTTCTTTATTACTGATGTACAAATTAATTATATGTACATAAAAAAATAGATTTCCAGGATCACTTTCTGTGCTAAAACAACCACCTACCACCAATTTAAGCTTCCCTCAAAGTGTCAAAGGCAAGACACTTCAGTGACACCCTTTTTGAAAGCATTATAGGCATTTTGAGAGAATTAATACAGCTGCAATCTAATAGCAAATATATTTCACACTGTGAAGAAAAATCACACTATAAGTGACCCTTATCAAAACTATTAGCATATGACAAAGCTGTGTCTATTGAGTAAATATTTTTCTTGATAAACTTCCTTTTTTAGTTTGCTATGTTTATTAATGAACCTGCTTCTCTTCCTTATGCCTGTCAAAAAAAATCAAAGTTATGAATATCAGATAAAAGGTTCATATCAACCTTTAACGGAGAAACAAGGATTCTGGTTGACTTATGAAGCACTACAAATTAAATCTTGTCTTTCTAAATAAGTTATTAAAGTTATGACTTGTAGGTTGAAATATATAAGTGGTTTCAAAAATTGCTATAGCATTTGAACATAGGCATGAATGCAATCACTAAAAAACTTAACAATTTAGTTATACATTTATATAGAGGACATAACTAAGACCCATACCAGTTATTTTTTCTCAAAATAATGATTTTTTTAAACTTAGTATCTTTTCAATACATGCATATTATTCAAACATACTCTTGTGTTCTTTCAAAAACATTGGTTAACAGCTGGGCGATGAAAATTATAAAAATGTTTGTTCTCGTAAGATTGAATGACTTAAGGTATAAACTACCCCCCAAGTGACCAAGCTGCTGACTCAGTTGTAGGAAATGCACGAGAAAGAAGAGTAGGAAATAACAAGCTAATTCTTCATACATTTGATGGCAATGGCAAAGGGATTTTGCAGGCATAGGGGTGAGTCTTAAGACGAAATTAAACGAAGTTTACACCGGAGTTTTTAGTATTTCAAGACAGCTAATCAGAGAAGAACCAAAAACTCTTACATCTCATGTTATGAAGAACTGGTCAGTGGCACTATAGTAAGGAGGTACATGTTTTGCCAAATTCCCTTTACCCTCTCAAAAACAAAACAAGACAAAACAAATCAAACAAAAAGCAATCCACTGATGTCTGCACAATGTCAAGCAGCCTTATTTCTTCACAAGTTTAAAACAAAAACATTTGTTTCAATTTCATGAAGACATACTTCATTCAAATTGTTGTATTTTTAAAAAGGAATTTAGGGTTATGTGAAAGTGATTATTATTCTAGAAAGTGTCTCTAGACTCAGCAATTTAGAATCATGGAGGGTGTGACTACTGATATAATGTTCTATTCTAATAGAAACGATATGCCAATAAAAACATTTACTTGCCCTTGAAAACATGCTTGATAATCTCACATATGAGAGGAGACCTCCTCCCCCCCCAAAAAAAACCCAGAATTTGTTTTTTTTGGAGGGCAGGCACCTTGTAGTTAGTGTGCTAGGAACTCATTGGCATCAGTGTACCAGCTAGCATTGTTGTGAGAGGCCGTGCTCAACTTTACTGAATTTTTGGTGGAGAGTCAATGTGTTTCCCATTTCCTGAGGAGTGATTTACCAGCTGAGTGTTCTGCCCACTCTTACTGAGTGTTCAGCAGTTTTTTATGAAAAATAGCATGACCCCGAGCCCCACCCTATTTAGTCACCTGATCTCTCCCCAATCGACTTTTCTTGTTTGTTTGTTTCACCATATGGAAAAAGTCCTCAAAGGGAGACATTTTGCTCATGTGGGAGAAGTGAAACAAAAATTGGCAGAAGTGGCTGGGCACGGTGGCTCAAGCCTGTAATCCAACACTTCCAACACTTTGGAAGACCAAGCGAGAGGATTGCCTGAGCCAGGGGTTCGAGACGAGCCTGGGTAACTTGGCAATACCTCATCTGTACAATAAATCAAAAAGTTAGCCAGGAATGGTGACACATGCCTGTGGTTCCAGCTACTTGGAAGGCTGAGGTGGATCACCTGAACCCAGAAGGTAGAGGCTGCCGTGGCTGTGAGCGTGTCACTGCACTCTAGTCTGGGCAACAGAGTGAAACTCCAACTCAAAACAATAACAACAACAAAAAGCCCAGCAGACGCAATAAAAGGCATCCAAATTGATGAGCTCAAAAACTGTTTAGAACGGTAGAAAAAGCATCTTAATAGGTGTGTTGTATCAAACGGAGTGTGTTTTGAAGGTGATTGAAGTTTAAACATGTAAGAATACAAAATTTTTTATGAATAATCTTCAGGTTTTTTTTTTATGTCCTCCCTTGTATGTTGCTGACAAAGGAGCTTTGGAAGTTTTGCAATAACTTTCATGGGTCCCCATGAAATAAATCTCTCAGTATTTTTTTCTTCTTCCTACAATGCTTTCCTGTATTCCAGATGCTTGTGATTTTGTTGGTTCATGTTTTCTCTCCAAGGAATGTAGTTTTGTGTGCACAGTATCAGTTTTGAGGCCTTTTAACTTGCACTCTCCATTGGTCACAGCCACCTTACACTGATGTGATGTTAGACTTTTCTAATTGTAATATGTTGGCTATTAAATTGAAGCAATCAGGGGGAACTGGTTGCAAGTCCAGGAGAACTGGTAAAGATTATATGTAGCTAATCATTTTGCTATTTGAAGTGACTACAAAAGATAATGAATATGTCAACAACTAGATAAGCAGTGCAAAGAAAAGAAAATGCAATATAGGAAGGAACTTCAATATAAAGCAATTCTTCAAAAGAAAAATATTCTCTCGGTTCATTGGAAACATTTTCTTGCACATCCAGGTTTGACTTGAATGTATTGCTTTTCAAATTTTGTCAAACTGGTGATTACATTTACAAGTAAACAAACTATTTTAGATGTCTTTAAAACTAGGGCCATTTGACAAAGAAGCCTCCTGGAGACAGTCACACTTCTAAATGATAGAAACAGATTACATAATTAAAAGTCTATCTTTTCCCAGGATATTGAGTATTCCAGAATTTACATAAACTCTCATTTTATTTGCCTGTGTGCTTTGGAAATCTCTGTTACAAAACTGAATAAAGAGACAGTTACAAATGATAAAAAGAAATAAGAGAGTTTGCTTCTTTGTCTTAAATGCCTAGGAAATCTGGTCTTTGCACTACCTTTATGTTAGGACAACACTAAAAGACAGTTTACAGTTAAAAATCATTATTTCAGAGCTTCACGTTTAGAGAAGAATCGAGGGAGCAACTTCTACGTTCACCTTCTGCCTGTTGAGCACTTTGCTGACTCTCCCTACATGTGTCTACAATTCCCTTGCGATAAAGAAAGCGGAATTTAACAATGTGGAGAATTCAGTTTTACTCATTGCTATATATGAAGTGTTCAATAAATGAACTGCATTGCTGGCTTATGTTTTCTGAATGAAAGAGTGAATGATTGATGATGAAATGAACCAACAATTTGAAAGTAAGTGCATTTAATGGAGAGACTTGGAACATGACTGTGTTTCTCACCAATGTGTTACTGCCTGAGGATAATTCAGAAATTGCTTTTTGCTTGATAGTATAAATTTTAAATCAATCTCTCTCAGTTAATCAGAAGAAGAGAGGCTAGTCTGGCTTCTGCCACAGCCCTTATGTTTGTTATTAACTTTGCTCACAGAATTTATGATTTATTTATTTTTTAATAACCAACTTACACAACAGACACTGATGGATCAGCTATGATTTAGGTTTCAGGAGACTTTCAGTTTATGTTTTATACAGAACTACATATCCTCAGAAAAGTCGTATTATTTTCAAAGTCCTCCACAAATGTTAGGCCTTATGATTAGCTACATTTAGAAAAAATATAAATTTAAAAATATGTTGTGATAATATCTAGCATTATAAAGAAAATATATTAAATGTAATACAAAAATGTGCAATTTATACAATGTGAGTACAATATGAGAGGTTTCTGAATTGTACATCTAACTAAATTCTCCTTCCCTTGCAAGGTACTTTATTTCATTTCTCAAGTAAGTTTTCTTGACACACTCAGTGTTAGACTTGTC